TTTAGTTTAACTATAATTTTAAATGCATATAATCTATATGATAAATTTTAAAAATGATTGCAATGTTTAAATTTTTTAATTATAAAGATATTTAAAATAAAAATTTGAGTGAGTTAACAAAGAGAGAAAGTGAAATGGTGATATGGGGACTTTTTTTTTTAAAATAGCATCTAAAAGTCTGAAATATTAGTCTAGTAGCAGCTTCTAATATTCTAAAATAATTTTATTGCACTTAACATTTAAAATATTTTTTTAATAGAAGTGTTAAACTAATTTTTTAGTGCAGGTTACTCTTAATATTTTTTATATCTTTTAGTGCAGTTTTATTTTTAATGTTTTTTTTAGTAGTATCGAGTATTGTAAACTTAGGATGCTGAGTTTGTAACATCCTTATTTTTATATCTAGAATTCAATTAAATTTATAAATAAATTATTGTAGTATCAAGTTAATGGAAATTTAAATATAGGCAAATTATTTTTGTATTAATCATGATATTGCGTGTGTGTGTGATATTACAAAAATAGAAAAGTATAGCATGGTATAGAAGTCCCACATCAATTAATTACTAGAGTAAAAGAGCTTGAGGAGACTATATGTAGGAGCTGGTGGATAGAATTTGGATTAAGTAAACAATTTTCGCACATATCTGAGATAGTCTCAAAAAATTCACTTATCTTAATTAAAAAATAGAGTAATCTAAATTTAGGTACCTAAATTTTCTTTCTCTCCTTGGTAGACCATTCTACTTCATGGGTTTTTTCTTTCATTTTTTTAGTTTGATTTGAAAGGGTTGAGGAAATGTTATCAGCTTGGAAAACAAACAAAAGAAAATTTATCAACAATTCTTTTCATTGCCTAGCGTCCCGGACTTCGTATTGGGTGCTCATTGCCAAACAATGCCTTCTCACACGTATAGAAAAGCCACTCTAGCTATTACTAATTTCATGTGGTGGCATATGGAATGAGAGTTTTAGTTTAAATATAATTTTAAAATGCATATAATATATATGATAAATTTTAAAAGATAATTGCAATGTTTAAATTTTTTAATTACAAAGATATTTAAGATAAAAAATTTGAGGGGTTAACAAAGAGAGAAAGTGAAATGGTGATATGGGGACATTTTTTTTAAAAGAACACCCAAAAGTCTGAAATATTAGTCTAGTAGCAGCTTCTAATATTCTAAAATAATTTTTATTGCACTTAACATTATAAAATATTTTTAATAGAACTGCTAAACTAATTTTTTAGTGCATGTTTACTCTTAATATTTTTTTATATCCTTTAGTGCAGTTTTATTTTTAATATTTTTTAGTATTAACGAGTATTTTAAACTTAGGATGCTGAGTTTGTAACATCCTTATTTTTATATTTAGTATTTAATTAAATTTATAAATAAATTATTGTAGTATCAAGTTAATGGAATTTAAATATAGGTAAATTATTTTGTATTAATCATGATATTGCGTGTGTGTGTGATATTATAGAAACTAGGATCTTCTCCCCGTGCGTTGCACGGGTGGTTGCTACACACGTAATTTTTGCGGGTTTCATATTGTTGTTCCTGTTTTACCTGTAAGTTTATAGAAGGCGAGGATTGTTATCTGGTGAAGTTCATAAATGTAAGTTTATCCCAGAGTTATAGATTTGTAAATGTAATGTAATGTAATAGTGGTAGCTGTCATTCTTATAACACGAAGTTGAAAGGCGGTTCGCGAAATGGATGATTTGGTCACTCCGAACGAACATTGTGAAAGACTTCCCAATATACCACACTGTGAGGAACATTAGTGGAAGACCTCCTGATAGGATATTAAGGCCGTGTAACTATTTTTTTACGGATGCTCTTTGCTAAGCACACATTATTCTATTTGATTAATTGAAGACTAATAGAGGTAGTGAAGTGTGAAGTAGTGTGTGAGCTGCTCAAATGTAAATAATTCTCATTTTATTAAAATGCGTCACATGACATAGCTGTGTAATTTTAACGAAGTAAGTCCTCATACTAATAGTGTGAAGACGACAGTCGGCCCATGGCGGCAAGAATAAGGTCATTCCGAATTCATATTCTGGAAGACTTCCCTGTAGACCACATTCCGAGTAACATTCGTGGGTTTACTGTCAGAATCGAGGATCAATATTTTGAGACCGTCCATATTCTTGACCCTTGACAATGCGACATACAGCTGTCCATGTGTAAACACCGGCCTGGGCAGGTACAAATCGACGTTCGTTAATGACTGTCCCTGGCTCTTGTTGATGGTCATCGCAAAAGAGATTATGAACGGGAACTATCGTCTCGTCATTTTGAACGGGAGGGTGGTTTCTGAAGGATTCATGTCCATGCGATGGATGAGTACCTGGTCACCTGTGCTCGTTCCGTTTAACGCTACCGCCCTGATGAAGTTCTTGCCCAGATACGTGATACGAAGCCTCGTTCCGTTGCACAGGCCTGCAGACTGGTCGATGTTTCGCAACAACATGACCGGTATTCCAACCTTCAAAGAGAGCTTATGGGGTGGCATCCCAGAGCAATTTATTGTGTTCAGGAATTCCGGGGAGTATAGATCCTGGAATGAGCTGCTATCCTGATCGGTGCTAGAGATGGAGTCAGAGCTGAGATAATGAACGGAGTCTCCAGGGAGGAGCGACAGCATGTAATCATTTATCTTGTCGACGACATCGGTTGTGGGGGCTAAAATCGCCCTTTCTGTGAGGTAGTTTGGATGTGTGATGTTCTGTTGGAGTGCAGGATATGTAGATGAGACTATGGAGTTGATAGGGTCAAGGGAGTCAGGGAGTCGGTGATGAGGAAATCGGCCGGGATCTCAATGTCTGTCATGCCCTCATGGGGCAGTCCAATTGTACCATCACCGACATCAAGCAACCATCTGGAGAATCCACTGACCTTTTTCTGGTCTAATGCCTCAGATGCTAACTGCAGGCGCATGTTTTTAGTGAGCCTGAACAGCTTGCACGCCGGCCAAAGAGCGGACGAGTTTATAGCTGCGTTTATAATGTCTGTACGGAATCCCTTCGGCATGACAGGTAGATCTGCCTGAAATCGCCCCCCATGACGACGCACTTGCCACCGAATGGGAGGTCGCACCTCATTATATCCTTCAATGATCGATCTACAGCCTCCACACAATGCCGTTTTATCATTGGCGCCTCGTCCCAGATGATTAATTTTGCGGACCGCAGTAAATGAGACACAGGAGAACCGTGGCTAATATTACATGTGGAGTCCTCATTTATGTCGATAGGATCGCGAATCTCGAATGAGCAGTCCTTCCTGAGGGCAATAGAGTCGCTGCTATTCCGCTCGATGCGACGTTGATGACCACACTGCCATTTGCTCGTACAGCCACGGTCAGGGCGTTCCATAGGAAAGTCTTGCCAGTGCCCCCGTAACCATAGATGAAGTAGAACCCGCCGGTGTTCCTGCTGACCGCATCAGGGACTTCGTGGAATATCTTTCTTTGCTCATCTGTTAGTGATGCTGCTAACCTTACGGCGTCTACTGCACAAGCATCTCTGTCGTAGCTGAGTTCCTGGAGTAGCAAGTTGTTTGTTGTGTCCAAGAATTCAGTGGAGCTTGGTTTTGGCAGCGATGGGTAGTCGTCCAGTGACCTACCATTCTTAAGGAGCAGCCTCTGAATCTCAATAAGTCCAGCCTCCTCCCTATCTGAGTCGGTGATTGATATTTCTGCAGGTCAAGAAAAGTAAGAGATGTCATGGCCAGGCACGTCTAACAACAACAGATGTCGCTGATCAGGGTGACCACTTGGCGTCTCTACAGGGCGGGTATTGTACATTTAGAATGTTGTGAGAGTGGAACACAGTTCAGGTGGTGTCTGTTTTACCTTGATGTCGTGGGTCGTGGCGCGGTATGTACAAAAGGTCTTCACATATGAGATGCTTTGTTTGCTCCCAGACTGAAGTGGGGTCAGATAAGCAGTGGCATAAGAGCATGCTAACGAAGAATCTCCTAAGGTACTGACCTGTAGCCCAGAATGCTGCCTCTTTTACTGCGTTGATGTACTCTTGATCATCGTGAAGCAACCCTAGCGCATAGCATGCCGCCCTGAATGTTGGCTGGACGACGTTGTCTACTGTCCTAATGTCTTTGTAGCTAAAGGGCCCTCTCGTCTTAGTCAGCAGGACCCGGAGGTAGTAAGCCTCACCCTGCGATGGCGATACGTGAGCCAATCTCCCGACAGAGAAGCCTCTCTGGCGTAGCCTCCACTCCCTCTTCTGCTTATTAAAAGTGTAATGCTGTGGGAACTCAGAATATGTTAAGGTCCTTGCGAATGAGTCTTTTTTATTCTTGGCGAGCCATGCGAGGAACATTGACTCCTTCACCCGTGGCCTGTCAATCAGTGAAGGCATTTCGTCGTTGGCCGTGTAAAAAACAGCCTGTTGATCTGGTAGATGGAAGCTCAATCTCTCGACAGAAGGGTACCTGTGGTGGATGTTGAATGAGAATATTCGCCACGTGCCCTCACAGGCTGAGATGTATCTGCAGTTAAGGTAATGTGAGATCTCATCGAAATCGGGTCGTGAGGTTCCGAGCTCATCATTGTGGTAGATACCTGCTATAACACGGTCGTGGCCCTTGCTGATGTATTTGAACAAATACTTGATAGCCCTCGATTGGTTTGTCTTCTCGACATTTAAGTGGCCCTGGAACAGCCGTAATAGTTGAGCATTGTACGGCACGACATATCTGTTGTCCAACTGAATTCCTCTCTTCACAGTTGTTCTGCCATTGTTCCTCCTACGGTATGTGGGGTACCCATCGTCATCTATTGTTGTGTGTGGCGCATATCTTCTTGGGAAGTACTTTGAGCACTTTCCATCTTTCATGCAAGGTGATTTCTGATTGGAGCAGCCACAGGGCCCGTGCATCATGAAATTGGTGACAAGCTCAAATAGCACCGGGTCTGCATCCTTGTCAGGTATCTCTGCTGAGATGATTCTGTCGACATCCTCAGCTGTCTTGGGTTTGTCACACGGCTCTATGAACAAAATAATGTGTGCGTGCGGCAGCCCCCGCTTCTGGAACTCAATTGTATATATCTCTGAAAACCCACATATCAGTACACGATAGTGGTGTCTTTTGAAGTTACAGAAGTAAATGTGATAATGTAGCTATAGGGTCTGTATTAATGAGAGGGTTTGGATACTGGGCTGGATGATTTTTGGAAATAAATTGTCTGAGTCCCCTATACTTTGTGGAGAGGTGATTAAAGGGAGGTTGTATTGTTACCTGCTTTGATTGTGCCGAATATTTTTTGCTCCTTAATGCATTTCATCAGTGCTGCAAGTTTGAGGTTGAACATCCTCGTCAAGATGTCGGGTCGATCAGATGGGCTGAGGTTGTATTTCTTGCAGAATCTTGTTATCTCAGGCCATGCCGGATTGCAAGTAAAGGTCAAGAAGATGTCGGGGTATCCTGCCCATCTGCATATGGCCATTGCATCCCGGTAGTTATGGATCATGTATCTAGCACCTCCGGTAAAAGAAGAAGGTAGGATTATCCTCTTTCCTGTGTTGGACGCATCTGTCTCACCCCTTGTTATTGCGTCAGCAAGTCCTTTGTATAGGTCAACCCTGAGCTCTCTCTGGTGTCTCCTTATGTAGTCGAGCCTCTCACTCTCAACCATTGTGAAGCCGTCTACAATGAATTGCTGTAATAACCTCTTTGAGTGCAGTAACACAGACTCCTCTATATTTCTGTCCATCAGTCTGAAAGCTAGGTACTCTCTTATTGTGAGGTACTTTTTCTTCCTAGTGCTAATAAGAGATGCATCGTTATGTTTCGTCTTCGGTATGAATCCGTTATTGCCATAGTGGAAGATGAGGGGATATTGAAGAGGCAAGTATGACCTGTGTAATTCATGGACGCGCTTCAAGGAGCCTGCTTTCTTTTCTATGATTATGTCTCTGTTGGAATATGACTCATCAAAATCTTCGACTATCAACGCGGCTACCTCCGACGCCGTTGGTAGCTCGTAATTTCTGCTTCTATTGGTTGATTCTCTGAGGAGGCGTATCCTGACTTCGGCAGTGTTGTCTTGGCGAAGGATTTCCGATGCCATACGGTATTTCTTGACCAGGGCATTATGCTGGTCGAGGCAATCTTTAATGTCCATAGCAATGGCTTCGTCAACACCTGATTTGTCTGGATGGTGCCTGCAATTCAGAGGTAAGGTTTAACATGAAGTGTATTGTAAAGAGAACATGATGCTGGAGGATATAAGTAGCATAAGGTGGATGCACCTGATCGCCGCCATCCAGTTTCTTATTTCATTGTCCGTGTCGTAAATATAGAGCTGTGAGTACACAGGAGGGCATCCTTCAGGTGGCAATAAGCTTCCCAAGAGATGATAGTTTTGGCCGGACATGATAAAGGAGTAGGGGCCACCTCCGCGAGAGTTGAGGGAATGGTCAATCTTTCCTCCCATGGAAGTGAAGCAAAACATATTGTTGTATGCTCTTATGTTGGCCAAGAAGTTTTTAGATTTTGGATGTTCTTTCTGGAAGAAAAGCTGCCGGAATTGTTCTGGTGGGGTTTGAAGGTAAGGCACAACAACCTTGCCGTGACAACAGCAGGTTGAGAAAAGCGGGTATTCAGAAGAAGAGCAACGCTTGAGGCGCTCGCCAATCCAGAGTAAGGCACCACAAAATTGACACTCGTAGACGGGGTCGCCATCGTCTAAGTAGCCTGTAGCCGACACATGAGGCTGGGTGTATTCATTGGTGGCAGACATTTGTGTGTCGTCATGGGCGACTTCTATGCTAGTGGCGACAAACTCTTCGGATTAGAATTTGCAAAAAAATGTACACAGCAAAAATTAATCTTAGAAAGGAAGCAGAAATAAAAATATAGCAATTTGAATTGAGTGGACAAAAATTTGGCAAATCACACGAAGTTGTCAATATTTTGTAAAAAAATTTTGTTAAAAGTTTAGAGTGAATGAAGATATAAAGAATATAAAACCCAAAAAAAAATTGCTTCATTTTGAAAGAAGCCGCGTCCTTGATTCGTCTAAAATGGTGCCACGGCTTTCATTTGTTATTTTTTAATTGAGTATTTTTGTTAAAAAAATTACCTTGTTGTTTAACTTATCTTTTACTAATTCTTCCTCTCAAATAGATATTAGTCTATAAGACTGTGTGCTCTTTTTTTCATGTGATTGTTATTGGTGCTTGAAACATAAGGTATGAAGTATGAAGGCCTTGCTTCTCCATTCACAAAAACAGACAAGAGATAGTCATGGCTCGCCTCTCTTTTTTATTTTAACAGAGCAGAGCAAAGGAATGGCAGGTCGTGTTCCAAATATAATAAACGGACACACGCATGCTATGCGCACAAATTAAAGTGATTTAATTGGGAATTGTATATGGCATTTTCATTAAAGTACGCATCATTCCTATTTATTTTTTCATTTATCTGCTAATGACACGGTAAATTTATTTGAGAAGAGCGAGCGAAGTACCTGTTATGATATGCTGATCGAGGATGGGATTAATGCTAGCATCTTCATTGGTTGTGTGCTCAAACCGGCTTTTCTTTGATTTGTGCAAAGTTGACTCTTGTATATAATGATTTGTATGATCTGTTGTTGAATTGTTTATTTCAGTCATTAGCACAAGATATGTTATAGAAATAGCACAAAAAAAAAGTAACTAATATTTTCCATTATAATATTTTTGTGTTTATGTGTATATAGACATTCATTGTCCATATAACACACATATATATTTAAGGAAAATAAGATTTTACGTATATGGTTTGTATCGCGTCATCTCCATGAACTACCATTCCATTGTTAAATAGAGTCATCAGTCGTTTGATTGATGCACCTAATTTTGCCTTAGCAATAGGACAGAGAGAAAACAACTAACATACAACATGATAAGTAAAGGGAAACTTGCCTTGTTCAGAGCTTTGAAGGTTGATGCTGGATGCGGTATTTGTCCATGCCGGCAGTGGATTGTGTGGTGAGTAAAAGTAAATTTGATGCGAAGAGAGGGTAATTGTGTGGGCATAAGATGGTAAAGCTCATGACAATATGTTAATCGCATTGCATTCCTCAATAGTGGTATTTGCCTCTCAATTATTGATGGTTAATTGGCTCATTCAATACCTTTTGTGATTCACTTTGTGCAGTAACGAACAGACTAAGCTGGCTGTTACATTGTAACGGACGAGGTGGTTTAATATTTACTGTTGATTGGGTCAGTTATGCTTGGATGATGGCATCCCTGTATTAGCGCTATCCGATCATTCTCTACCTTCTTTGATATTTGGTATACATTTATTATTCCTAAGTACAGGTGTAATTAAATAGTTGCATTTTTCCGAAACGAAACCTGTTCCAAAGGTGATGCTATGACAAGCTTTGTTAATAATCGATGTAGGTAACCGTCACGAATTTTGGGTTGCCGATCTTTGTTAACTTGAGCAATAATCACTAAATCGTTTCATATGAGGATAAATTGGAATACCGAGTACAGTTATTTGGATTAATATAGGACCAAGTTTGTCAAGCACGAAGATGAACTTACTTCATCCCAAGATCTCCCTTGTGCAAGGCGTGGATATATAGGCGCATTAGGATTGGCAAATAATAGGTAATTGGAAACTGACACAAGTCTAAGCTGCAACGTCCATCATATTATGATTTTTGCGACTGAAAATGATCTGTGACATTTCTTCATGATATTATAATTTTCGAACTAAGACTTATCTCATTTACGAATGCATTAATCATCAGTGTGGAAATGTAACTCATCAATGTTTTACAATCCAAATTGAAATAGTAATAAATTTCAAAGTAATTAATTGATAATTGATTGTGAAGTAGGTGAATGCATAGATGAATTTTATAGAAATATCCTGTAGAAATATAAACAAAGTAAAAAACTGATAAATAATTTGATAGCAAAGAATATTGCAAAAATTTAATGAGCATGTGGAATAGCATATTAAAATATATGTCCAATAGTTAAAAATGTTGTGACTGTTGTTCTTCATGTGAGTTATATGTAAATCATAAGACTTTGCACCTTTATTATTCGAATTCCTTAATTCATTTGATTTTAATGCATTCATTCGAATTTGATTTATTACACTGAAATGGTGCCTTGAATTAAATCGTACCTGTAACTAATGTTTGTAATAGAATGTCTTTAACAACACAAATGTTTGCTTGCAGCTAATAATGTGAGTACTGAGAGAGCTGAGAAATCACTCTTTATCTTTCTTTTCAATTAAGAAAAAGAGGGAGGAAATTAAGGAAGATGCTTAGATTATTTGGGGGGGGAATATATTATATTAACCAATAATTTAACTAAGATCGTTCATACACTCAAATTAATTCATTGAGTTTTATATTTAGGACGTAAAGAGTATATTTTTCCCTGATTAGATTACTGAAATATATGATTATTCAATGAAAACAGCTGATTACACAAATAGAGAGCCACAATTTAAAATCTAGAAACAGTCCAATAGCATGTCTTTTTTCCCGCTAAATATGTTATTCATCAATTAATTATTGTTAATATATTTAAAAATGATATGTTCCGACTTGTTAATTAATGATCAATATTAATGAGTAATAGTAATAGTAACAAATTGTGGAAATTGAATTAGTCTATTGAGTAATATATAAATTAGATAGATATGAACAATATCTAATTTTGTATATTTAAACATATTATTATTGATTTTGTTATTGTAAACATATTATTCACTCTTTATCTTTCTTTTCAATTAAGAAAAAGAGGGAGGAAATTAAGGAAGATGCTTAGATTATTTGGGGGGAATATATTATATTGACCAATAATTTAACTAAGATCGTTGATATACTCAAATTAATTCATTGAGTTTTATATTTAGGACTTAAAGAGTATGATTTTTTCCCTGATTAGATTAGTGAAATATATGATTATTCAATGAAAATAGCTGATCACACAAATAGAGAACCACAATTTAAAATCTAGAAACAGTCCAATAGCATGTCTTTTTTTCCGCTAAATACGTTATTCATCAATTAATTATTGTTATTGTTAATATATTAAAAAATGATATGTTCCGACTTGTTAATTAATGATCAATATTAATGAGTAATAGTAATAGTAACAAATTGTGGAAATTGAATTAGTCTATTGAGTAATATATAAATTAGATAGATATGAATAATATCTAATTTTGTATATTTAAACATATTATTATTGATTTTGTTATTTTAAAGATTCATTAGTTGGAGCAAAATGAAATGTAGCTTCTTTAAACAAATTTAACAATTAAATCGAATAAAAATCTTACTAAAATTGTTAAATTAAATTAGATAAATATGACTCTTGGAAAAATTAAACATATAAGTTAGTGTTGGGAATTTATTAAAACTTTACAATTTTGGGGAGAGATGAAATTAGAAAGTTAAAATTATATGAAAATTTAATTATTTATCTATAATCTCATCTAATTTGAAACAATAATGCATTTCAAATTAATCAATCTTGATAGTAATACAATATTCCAAAAACTTAATGAGTAAAAAAAATGTGATATGTAAATATATGCCGAGCAGCTAAAAATGCCGTGAGTTTTGGTATTCACGTGAGCTATATGTAAATTGTATGTAAAGGATGATGAAAGATTTATAGATGAACTTCAAAAGTATCAATACTGAAACATTATTTCAATGATAGGTCTTTTACGTTAAGCAGTAATATGTCTATCAAGTAAAGAAAAAAAAATTGCGCAATCGAAACTCTTTAAAAACAAAAAGGCCTGCAACTGATAATGTCACCACTGATAGGGCTGAGAAATCAGTCTTTATCTTCCTTCTCCTTTTTGATGTTCTTCAAGGGCTTCATGTAGTTGGACTTCATAGTTGAGTTGGCAGACAATCTCATCTCGTCATCATCAATTGATGAATCAGGTGGATTCTTTTTACGCTTAGACAATGTGTCTGGAGAGCCATGCAACTGAGATATTAAGAGATCATTATCTACATCCAACATGCCACATGACAACAATGTTGTTGGTTGTGATGATGAAGTGTCAACTGTAGCCTTCTCATAAGTGATATTTTCAGATTCATTAAGTTGACTTCCCTACATAATTGTGTGAAGGAGTTCTAACATGTTAGATCTAAACATTGAGCAGTGAGATATGATGAGGATGAGTTATCTGAATACCTCGGTAGCAGAGTACGCAAAGTTTTTCAGCATCTTTTTATCGGTAGAGAACTGGATAACACCCATACTACTATTTCGATACCTAATATTGCTTTCTTTGATCTTTAGCTTGACGATCATTTCTTTCCCCACACAATTGCTCAATTCTTTTGGAAAAGAACCTGGGTTTTTGTCCTAAAATGGAACACGTTGGGGAAGTATAAAGGTTATAACATGAGTGTTGAGTTCAAGAAGTGCAATGTAAGAGTCATACCTTTGCTACCTTTGTCTTCAACTCCTCAGCTGAGAAGCCAATCAAATCATAAGCAAGACGATTGAAAAATATGATTGAACATATGCCCGTTGAATCAAACACCGTGTAATGGAGCTTAAATCTATGAAACAATATGAAATAGTGTTTCAGTTGCATTTTCATTTTTCATTGGTTAAAACATAAATAGTGTAGACGTTTGCTCATTTTGTAGAGAGATTTACAAATAATCTTACTTAGGCTCAATAGTCAACACATCACCCGTACAGCTTTTGCATTTTAGTTTGTCATTTTCATATACAAGTTTACGATTGCATGAGCACCCATCGTAGGTCCAACCATAAGCAATCTCAATCTTTTGGATGCAAACCTTGGTTACAACTTCACACGGCTATTTTCAAAGAACGAATGTTGTCAATAAAAATCTTATGATAACTAAAATAAAAGAAAAACGACATTTGAGAAACAAAGAAGCTAAGATTTATTGATCCTGATGTGGGGCAAAAAATATAAATTATAATTTATGTTTGTTAGCAAAATATATGTAAAATCTTATATGCACCAAACATATACAGAACATATAACAAAATCACCGACATATATATAATCGAGGTAGGAAACAAATAATCAGCACAGACATACATATAAATAAGAAGCATATATAAAAATATATATAGTATAGCAAAAATCTTTCTTCCTTGGTTTGTCAAGAATATAAATAATATTTTGCATTTAGATGTGAGATGTAACGTGAAATTTAGTATTAGGAGTTTATTAAACCTTTAAAAATCTGGGAAAACATGAATTAGATATGAAAAATTAGATCGTAATTTTATTAACTATAATGCACATCGAGATAATAATACTTTCCAAATTAATCAATTAATTAATTAACTATTGAATATTGTTAAGAGACATCATGTTACCTTAGTAATTGCGAAGAGTTCAGCCACATGTATTCTTATTGGAAATGTTAACATTGGCTCATTGTCTACAACTTGGTAATCTGCACTGGAAAGTTGAGAGAAACGCTGCCTACCTTCAGGTATTTCGTCAAGGCTAGCAACAATAATAATAAAAATGATTAAGATTTTTTAGTCACTGCAAACATCAATAAATATTTATGAATCGTAAATATGTATTGGTCAAATATCTTTTCGTAGGGCTTCACCTTTGAAGCAGGTCATGGGCCTCTGGAATGTTAGGGTTGAACAAAACTTTAGTTGCTTCAAACACGTTGCTAATATGGCCATATGCTAATAATATGCCAATCAGAGTGTTAGGATCATGGAATTGATTTTTGTTTAAATGAAAATATGTTTGTGGTACCTTGTTGGTGGTTTAACCTTCCAAATCTGACCACCACAATAATAGGATGCTCCAACCCTTGAGGCTTGCTGTTATATGTGTTTACCGCGCAGTTACCAAACAACACCACCTTTATTGTGCTCTCACTATAGGAAATATGTTGCAACTTTAGTCAGAATTAGAGAATGACAGTAGTAGGAGGATAAAGTGATGACAATTAAGGTTGTTACTATTGATTAGAAAGAGTCAGGGTCATTGTTTTCGAAGTCCCAAACTCGTTTTTGAAGTCTTTCAAATTCCCAAGTGCCTGGAGGAAGCCGATCACATCTACACAGAATATATGATATTATAATTTTTATTGTAGTGAAAAGCAGACTTTGGAAAGGGAACTTAAATGAAATGTTTGTATACTAACCAATAAATCCTTCATTCTTTGCAGTGTATTCAGCAATATCCTTGATGGGAATGAAGTTGAAAGACTCTTTGGGAATGGGCAAATCCAATTCTTCAAAGTATGTTGTATTGTGGAACTTTAGCCTCCAACAATGTGAGGTCACTCTGTACTTGTCATCATTGCCAACTATCTGAAAGTTTTCACAATGGTATACTCTACCCTCTTTAGGGTCATTCTTGTACCGCTCAATCAAGCTCTTTTGTGTTGCAAAACCTTCTATTCTTGAACCCTATTCAAATTTTGAATTGTCATTTAAGAGTGTTATTTATCTTAAATAAATAGTCAATAACGAACATTAACTCGCCTGCTCATCTACAAGGAGCATTCCAATCCTCCAAGGAGCATACGGGGGAGCCTTCTTACAGGAAACCCACTTCCTAAGGACTCGAGCAACAATTGTCCAGGTCTCTTTACTATTATTGATATCTTTTATCATGTCTCGATCAGTGCTTGCCATGTTATGATAATGGTATAATTGACACCCGCTAACAAAGCTACAGCAAACACAAGTTTAATGTAGTAATGCACTAAATAACATTACATATAAATTGCACAAAATGCATGGTATATACATGGCATAAGATAAACAGACAAGCAAAGTGTAAAAGGCTTAGATTGGGAGATGGCAATGAAGGAGACCCATCACAGAATTTTGAATACTAGTCAAATCCTCGTTAACCATTGAATTCAGAGTTTTAAACACTAATAATGCATGATTTTTGCATAACTATTAGCAGCTTCATGGTTATTTTATTTCAATTTGCATGGTATCCTAAGGCTTCAATATATCAAATATACCAAAAGGTGGTTTTTTTCTGGACGCTAATGGGATGAAAAGCAGTTGGAATCTCTGACTAATTCAATATAGGGGCTGGCCAAAATGTTTCAAGATTAGTCGAAACTGTAGCTTCAAAATTAAACCCAAATCATGGTTAAAACCTTAAAGGAAGTCTGAACTTACCTTGGATAGATGCTTGAAGTTACCCAAGTCCTCTTGCACTTTGGCTCTTCCTTTTCTCTCTTCTCTCTCTTCTAATTCAAGAGCAAAACCTTCCCCGTCTAGCTTTCTCAATTTGCACGGAATAAGATGTTATTTTCTCTTTTAAAATGTTATTTATTTTAAAAATATTTCATGATTTTCTAATTTTCTTATCTTTCATTTGGGAGTACCAAAAAGATAGGAAAATTGACTAAAAAAGTATATTTAAAATAGAAAATTTCAAAAAAAAAAACGGCCAACCCTTCCAAATGATAAGGAAGAAAGAAAAGCCTAAACTAGAATTATGAAAATATTGGGAAATGACCAATATACCCTTATGTGATACTCAGAAAAGGATGTTGTTATTATGTATTCCAAACTTGTTACTTTATGTTGCAATCTTGTTATTATGTATTCCAAACTGACATAAGAGCATATTGATCGTTTCCTCACATTTTCATAATTCTAGTTTGGGCTTTTCCTCCTTCCTTGTCATTTGAAACTATTAGCTGGCCTCTTCGAAATTTCCTCTTTTTAAGGATTTTTTTTGGTCATTTTCCAAAAACAAGGTAGCATTGAAACATCAAAATCCTACTTAACGTATGGGAATTTCAATAATCCAAAATCAATTCACTTGATTGAATTGGGATTTTAAAATCGTATTGAAAAGACATCACACCCCCTCACTATTTTTTCAATGCCCACCAAATACCTCTTGTCGACAGCCAATCTCACTAAAGCCTTGTGATTCTGCTAGCGGCCAAAAGCCAAAACTCTGGCATACACACAATCCCTTATTGGCCATCGACATTTTTAAAATTTTTGGAACAGTTATATTAAATAGTGAAATCAGATTGGTAAATAATAGCGAAGTAAATATAGTAAATAGTCAGCAATAAAGGCATTCTCCATGAATTTATTCAAGTGTTGGAGTTCCTTATACTTTTTTGAATTTTTGAAGCAAGAGTAGGAAATGGTAAACATAAAATTGTAAATAGTAAAGAAAATATAGTCAATAGTCAGTAAATACATGTTTTGAATTTTTAAAACAAAAGTAATAAATGATAAAACCAAGCTGTAGCAACAAAGTAAATATGATAGATAGTCAACAACAAAGAATGCCCCTATAGATTTGGAAAATTTTGAAAAAATTGTATTTGCCAACTATTTACTTCGCTATTTACTACCTTTGTTTAAAAAATTCAATAATGTATTAGGAACTCTAACATTTAAATAAATTCATAGAGAAAACCCTAATATATTGCTAACTATTTATTACATTTATTTTTCTATCCACTAATGTTTTTTCAAAAATTCAAAAAGGAGTTGTCAGTGCCAAAGCTGCAATGGCTGGCCACTAGATAGTGAGGAGTTCCTAGGGCCATTTTAAAAAAATAGTGAGGGGCAGTGATTTTTTTCTCACAACATTTCAAAACTCTAAATTAGTCAAGCAATCTAGTTTGAGATTATTGAAATTCGAATGACTGATTTGAAATTTGATATCAGGAAGATGATAAACAAAGAACCTAGAAAATATGAAATCCCCCAAAGGGTGCCTAAATTAGCATAATCCTGGAAAATTGCAAAGTCCTAAAATGAAATTTTTGAATTCAAACATAAAGATGCAAATGCTCCCATTTATAATTTCTATTCTAAAATTGATAAAATGAATTAAAAATTTGTTGTTACCGATTGAAGTTTAGGAATTGAGCATCTTCTAAAGACACGATTTTTTCTGATTTTCCCAATTTTTAGGTTAAAATTGAAATTTGTTAATTTCCATTCAGTAAGCTCAAAAGACTCAAAATTCCAAGCCAGGTTGCAAAATGAGAAGTTTCATGGCAGAATTTAAGCTCACCTTGCTCTCTAGCTCTTCTTGTTCCTCTCTTGACTTAAACTTTTCTTCCTTATACACCTTGAGCACGTGATTTTGGGAAGAAAAATGGGTTAGGATAAGAGCTTGATGAGAAGAAGTTTGATAGAGGGAATTTTGGGATTTGAGATCCTAATTGCCAAGAAAATTACTCTTGAACTTCCTTCTTCTTACCATTCACTCTTCCTCTCCCTTTTCTCTTCACTTTTGTTCTCTACTCCCTCTTTCTTATCTCACTTTGACTGACTTCAATAAGAGGAAATGAGGGAGTGCTTTAAGTGACCCCATATCACTTATAAACTATATTTGATAATTTATTACTCAAGTCTTAATATTATTTTATTAGCTTCCTTTTGATCCAATGGCTTGAAATGCTTCTTGCACTACTACAGAAAACAACTTTAACAGTAGTTAAAAAGGACTTTTTACAGTGGCTTTTGGGGTGTAGAGAATACTGTCAATGTTAAAAACAAAGCATTTCATGGTAGTTATAAATTGCCTCGAAAAGAAATTAACTTTTCATGGCAATTTTGAATCCCGCATAATTTAAATAATGGACAAATCAACTAATAATCAACCAACCACCAATGTAAGAAACAAATACAAGACAAATTTAAATAATTATAACCAATAAAAACAAAAGCAACAATCTCAAACCAATAAATAAAGATTCTTAAAGTTAAAACTTCTAAATGAAAAAAGAGAACATAAATGATATCTATTTGCCGTGAAATTTTAAACAATACTTTATAATCAATCAAAGTTCATAACAAAAAAAAAAATTAGCCAAACATTCAAGAGATTATTTATTTGGTAAATATCAAAGTTTATAACAAAAATTTGAAATAAATATGAAAAAATTATTAAAAAAATTACAAACTCAAAGAATAATCAACTTTGAAGATTTAAACATGTTATTAATGCCATGTATAGGAAGTAATTGTAGTTCTCTAATTCTAAATGTCACAAACCAACCTTCCAAGTATGTAAGATACTCAAAATAAACAATACTAAATATCCTAAATGTAAAATCAATTAATCCATCTGATATATAACAAATTTCCATCATCAAATTTCCAAAACAATCAGAAAAAAGCAAGAGAATGAATGAAAAGGAAACTCATAGTGTGGGAGATGAGTAAAATACAAAAAAGGTGACTTTGAATGGTGAAACACAATGGTAACAGATCGCCAAAAACGACAATATACTGTGGGGTTATGCTAGAAAAGGCAGTTTGAGTGGTGGAGTAGAGGAGGAGACCACAATGCATTGTAAACAACTCTAAAACTTATCATAGTATTGGGCTTTTTTAAAACTCACAGTAAATACTTTTCACAGGCGGTTGTTAAAATAAGTACTGTGAAAATTGTTTTTAATAGCGGTTATCTAGATAACTGTAATGAAAAGTACTTATGATGACATTTTATTAAACGCCATTGTAAGTTCAAGCATCAGCTAGGACTTTTCATGGCCGTTATTTAGTTAACCACCGTGAAAAGTCAAAACTTACCATGAGTTAATTACAAAAATGATAACACATTTTTTTCACGGCATTTTTCTTTTTAATCACTGTAAAATGGCATCGTTAAGTGTATTTTTTGTGGTAGTGTTGTTTTTTTCTTCATTAGATTATGCCACATTTGTATTGGAGGGAGTATTTGATTGTCCATTTCAACACAAAATTACACTAATTATCCTTTACTCTTTAGTTAATATGAGTTTAAGGTTCTACAAATGCTATTTGAAGATTTTTTTTATCATATAATTGATCATCAATAATTCATATTTATGAGAAAACTAGAAATTTCT